GCTGATATAAATAAGAAATGTGTATTAAAAGCCTACCATTTTGATTTAACCTGTGAAATACATTTAAATTCTTGGAAAAATCCAAAAATACCTAGAAAAAGGAGCTATTGCCAGAAGATACACAGTTCTTTAGTGTCAGCCTGCGATTATCTCCCAGAAATAACTTTTGGCTCATGTAGCTTCCAGTACACTGCAAGAATAAAAGATGTGAAGACAATGTTACTTAATTGGATTTGTAATTACTCACTATTCACTGTTAACCAATTTTATTGGAAAAAAAAAAAGATTCCAATCAAATACACTGATTTTAGGTATACTGTTAAATACAGTTTTATAAATAAATACATTCTTGTAAGCAAAATCAATACAAACAACCTTTCTATAACTCCAGAAAGTTTTGTCCTGCTCTTCAGGAAGCAACTTGCTTTCCACCTCACAGAACAGAAAATCCTTGGTTGGCTTATTGTTAGTATAGATTCCACTTTCTTTTTAAGAATTTCACATAAATGGAATATAGCATATGCTCTTTCGTGGCTGGTGACTTTCGTGCAGCATAATTGTCTCCCAGTCTCACTCATGTCGCTCTCACTCACTCATTGTCTCCTAGTCTCACTCTTGTTATGACAGCTGACCAGGAGGCTGTCTCTGCTGTTTTCACCTCCATATCCCACTATGCGTTTCATCTTCCCTTTGCCTCACTGGAGATCCAAGTGCAGGGAATGCCTCACATGACTGTGATCCCTAGAACTTCATCCTGATGACTGTTGAAATCTTCTCTGAGTTTTACCAGTGGAAATGGCAATAAATAGAAACATTCCAGAAGGTCCCCTAGGATCCACATTTTCTGTACTTCCTCTCTAAAATATGTAAAATCAATTCTATTTGCTCTTGCTTTATATGGGCTAGATCTATGACTCCAGCACACACCCTAATGCCCTGTGTTGACAACATATCCAGTATTGTATTAAGTCTAAATGGTCACATGCTTATCCTATCGTTTCTTCCAATTTAATAAAACAATTGTTATGTCAGCTCTTTGCATTAAGAACCATCAACCAGAAAACCACAGCCCTGAGAAAACAGAAATTGAGTATTTCAAGCTGTTCAGTTGGTATACCAATGATGAGTCTACAGCTCATTTTCCAGATATAAATATTCTGTTTATGGGAGTAAAAGCACCAATCACAGTTAGTGTTTCAGAGCCTCCACCACATCTGACAGCATAGCAATTCAACAGCACAAGGGTTTGTGTGCCAGCTTTGCTTGACGGATAATGGTTTTTTCCCTGTCTATAGGGAAAGCTGCACTTGTGCTCATGACAAGAGCATGAGCTATACTTTGCTTCACTTTTTTTGAGTTAAATAAGTTGCTTGATCCAGAGCCATATTATGGAAGAACTTCCTGACTCTGATGAAAACACTTTGAAAATCTTTAAATAATATTTTATGCAGAAACATATCCAAAAAGGAAGGCAAATTCATGTATAGTAAAATGACCACTGCCCTCCTCATGTTACAAGAGGTCCACTGGAATCACCCGATACCAGCTATTAGTCTGAGCCCTGATGTGTGGTACAATGTTAAGGGTTCTGGAGGGATCCATTTTCTCAGCAAATTAGGTGTTCAGAAGAGCCAGTAGCCCCGCACATCTCAGTTAGTTGAAACTCATATTGTTGAGTTCCCACGGGGACCTCCATAACATTGGTTTGTGAGACTCTTTGGGAAAGCTGGGAAAGGTGACTGACTGAAGTCCATGTGTTGAATCATCCTCATTGTTAAAAGCCCCTGCTCACTAATGGTATTTGAATTAATACTCACTTGGAAAGCTTTTTTTTTCCCTCTATTATGGCTCATTTTTGAAACTTCTAGTCATAGCTCTTGCAGAATGACTTTGTCTGAAATCATACTGTTGCCTTTCTTTTAAGGCCTGATGATCTGTCAAAACCAACAGCCAGTATTATTAAATTGCTGTTCTCTTGGCAATGTGATCATCATATGTAATCCTTGCAGTTTACCCACTGTTATGGTTTTTGCATTTCCAGGGCTTCCTTGACAATGGCACTGATGTGACTCCATCCAGCATCCATTGTTGTGAGAACTCTATTTGGAATATCATCATTGTGAGCATGAATATAATGGAGATTTTCACAGGATGCAATGGTTAATATTTAACATTAGTCAAAATTTTCTCTAGTCCTACCCTTGGAGCTCTACTGGATTGGAAAATATTTTAGGTAAGGATAACCATTTGGTAAAGTTTTAAAAATAAAGGCTACAATGAAATTTTCTGTAGCAAGAGTATGAATTATATGTCATCCAGAATACCATTTTTTTGTGGAATGTAACAACAATTATTTAAATGTATATAATTCAGATAATATTTTATAAATATATATATATTGCATATATAATAGAATGAATGTACTTAAATATGAATACTGTATATATTTGTAGCCAACATTTTTTTTTTTTTTTTTTTTTTGAGAGGGAGTCTCACTCTGTCGCCCAGGCTGGAGTGCAGTGGCCGGATCTCAGCTCACTGCAAGCTCCGCCTCCCAGGTTTACGCCATTCTCCTGCCTCAGCCTCCCTATAGCTGGGACTACAGGCGCCCGCCACCTCGCCCGGCTATTTTTTTTGTATTTTTTAGTAGAGACGGGGTTTCACTGTGTTAGCCAGGATGGTCTCGATCTCCTGACCTCGTGATCCGCCCGTCTCGGCCTCCCAAAGTGCTGGGATTACAGGCTTGAGCCACCGCGCCCGGCCGTAGCCAACATTTTATAAAATAAATATATATTCACTTCTATGTATCTTAAATATATACACACATTTTTCCATAAATAAGGCAAATTTTTATTTTTTATTGAAATACTAATTCATTTTAATTTTGTCTTTTTCTCTTAATAACTTCATAATCTGATTGTTAAATTTTCAGATTCATACCACCAATTTAAGGAAAAATACATATGTTTATATAGGTAGGGGTGTAAATACTGTATCAGGAAGCATTTATGCATTCATTATTGGTAACTGGGTAAATACACAACTCAGTGGCTGATAACAGTAAACATTTGTTTTCATGTTCATGGATGCTCATGTTCACAGTCATCTGGCTGATCAAGGAAGGACTCTGCTAGTGGTTCCTCTGCAGGGCACTGAGCTTGTATTCAGCCTGTAGATAACAATTGTTTAAGGACAACGCTGAACAGCAGTGACTAAACATGACACAACATTCTTCTGACAGGTCAGAGGAGACATCAACTTCCCAAACCAAACCACACAGTTGAATTTAAGTCCAATAATTTGTAACAGAGCTTCACGCATTTTAAATATATTCCGTTATTTCAATGAGTACAAATTTTCAAGAAAATGTTATTCCACTTAATTATAGAGGTGTTTGATCATTCCATAGACAAATAGTTATGTTTTCAAGCTTTAAAATCCTGAAAATATTTGCAAATGTAAGTTTACATTAATAAGAAAACAAAACTGGATGTGTTGTCAACATGTGGCTTGAAATATAATGTTTTTCAATGGCCTTTTTAGGGGAAAATCATTTTAACTTATGTAAATATCCCTCCTTACCTCTCGGGTCCTATAGAGTTGCCCAATAAGAGATCCCCCCATGAGATTTGGAAGTCAGAAAAGGAAGACTCAATATTATCCATTGGTACCTAAGACAGGCACAGAGATAAAGGTGAGGACTGGAGAAACACCTGGAAAGATACTCTAGGAAGCTGAGAACTTCAGCAACCCCAGACTTAAGCTTCCAGACAGGACTGAGGATCACATGGTTAAATAGCCCATACTTCAGGGGCGGAAGCATTCTGTTTTCTGAGGGAGCACCATGGAATCCTGTTTCTAATATCAACTTTCCTGAATACTATATCCTTGGCTTTGAAAGTTTGTAGTGTGAACATTAATCATAGGAATTGGGTCATTCTTGTCATACCCAACAAAGACAAGAAATCAGAGGAGAAAGACACTCAAGGTGAAAAATATTGTTTCTAGAATGTAATTGAAATAGGCCCTATTATCCCACAGAACTAATGTTTATGGTTTTTTAAATAAACATAGAAACTGACTCCCCTAGTCTTAAAACTCACGATAGTTACATCTGTCTTACCTGAGTTCTTTTTTCAGGAAACCAACCATCAGCTCTCCCAGATACTATCAAGGAGCTAAAATTTACATATCACTGAATCGGGACAGTGAGACATCAGAATCTTCACCCATTATGATTGCCTAACTGACCTCCTGCTTCCTGTTGTCCAAATTCGCTTTCTTACCCCTCCATAATACTTGTTTTCCCACATTTCTTCCCTGCTATGTAAACCCCTAATTTTACTTGGTCAGGGAGATACATTTGAGAATGGTGTCCCATCTCCTCGACTGCAGCACCCGATTAACGCCTGTTCCTTGGCAATGCTTGTTGTCTTAGTGATTGGCTTTCTGTGTGGTGAGATGCAGGATCTACACGAAATCCCTGGTATTTCAGTAACAAAATTCTCTGCAAGCTTCACTGCTTTGGCTTCTTGTAACCTGAAATCAAATTGATCCACAACTTCTGAGATAACTTGACATAATTCTAGGATTCACTTTGTCCACCACTGCTTACCAACCTGAGCTTACCAGCTCCCAACCCTTCGTAGTGCGAATGAACTTTCTCAAAGAGTCATAGGTAACATTTACCTTTCTTCGTAAAATGCTAACTTTCTCTTTGTTCTTCCAACATACTGAAGACCACTGAGATTTCCTGTATGCCCCATTTGTGAAATATTTCTAGGCAAATAAAACACTAAATTTAGAGATTCATCTCTACGTTTTACTTAGACTTCAGTAGTTTACTCTAATTCTCTGTATTAAGACAATTCCTGCTGAGAATATCTATAGTGGCTTCTTCTGTGTTGTATAAAGTCCAACTGAAGCCATAAACTAGACTCCTCAGGTGTCATGATCTCTGTCTTTAGTAAATCAGGAGAGGCATTGCTATGTCTGTGTAGTTGGGGCTGAGAAAGAGAAAAGAATTAGGGCGCCGAAGTTACTTCATGTCCCCATCTACCAACACCATCAGAGTGTGGCTGCATCTGAGGAACACTCTCAGCCCATAGAGGCATCAGGAGGAGAAGCTGGGGCAGCCCAGCCTCATACATCTGCTTCCCTGGGGGTTTACGTTCGGGTGTGTAACACTGTGGGAGGCGCACTGTTATACTGTAGACAGTAATAGGTTGCAAAATCTTCAGGCTGCAGGCTGCTGATGGTGAGAGTGAATACTGTCCGAGATCCACTGCCACTGAACCTTGATGGGACCCCACTTTGCAAACTGGATGCAGCATAGATCAGGTGCTTAGGAGCTTTTCCTGGTTTCTGCTGATACCAATTTAAATAATTGCTAATGCCCTGACTTGCCCTGCAAGTGATGGTGACTCTGTCTCCTACAGATGCAGACAGGGAAGATGGAGACTGGGTCATCTGGATGTCACATCTGGCACCTGAGATTGGAAACATAAAAACAAATGTCCACACAATTAATCATGTTGTTAGACAATTTCCCTGAATAGTGAAGCAGTACTCAGAACCCTGGGCTGTGTAA